AAAAGAAAAAAGCACAAACCGAGAAGAAGAAGAAGAAGAAGAAGAAGAAGAAGAAGAAGAAGAAGAAGAAGAAGAAGAAATAAAAACAGGAAGAAAAAAGAAGACAAACAGGAGGAGGAAGAAGAAAAAAAAGAAAGAAAACAAAGAAAAAGAAAAAAGCACAAACCGAGAAGAAGAAGAAGAAGAAGAAGAAGAAGAAGAAGAAGAAGAAGAAGAAGAAGAAGAAATAAAAACAGGAAGAAAAAGAAGACAAACAGAGGAGGAGGAAGAAGAAGAAAAAGAAAGAAAACAAAGAAAAAGAAAAAAGCACAAAAGAAGAAGAAGAAGAAGAAGAAGAAGAAGAAGAAGAAGAAGAAGAAGAAGAAGAAGAAGAAGAAGAAAGAGGAGGAGGAATAGAAGAAAACGCGGGTGTAGAACAATAAACGATAACGAAGAGGCTTTTACCAATTGAAAAAGTACTCGAAATCATTTTCCAATTTTACGTTAAAATACGCGAGAAAGAAAGAAAGAAAAAGGTGAAAGAAAGACTAAAGAAAAAATGGAAAAGGGATGTTAAAAGAGTGGTTGAATATTTTATTAAATATTAAAGAAATGCTAAAGTGTACGACAAAAACAACAAATAGAAATGACGCGAAAAATAGAAAGAAAAACAAATTATTAATATTATTCGGGATTGTTTTATTCATTTGCAAAGATATCGGTCATATGATCTCACATCAAAGCTAAATACCTCTTCTGCTCTCGGGGTTTGTGTCGAAGGTGAATGATGTCATGGCCGGATTGTAGAGCTGAAACAAACGAAAAAGACAAAAAAAGAATCAACTTTTATTATTATTATTATTATTATTATTATTATTATTATTATTATTATTATCATCATCATCTTTGATTTCTGCGTGTACACATTTCTTTCCGGCTCCCGCCTAGAGACCTAAGGTTAGAAATGGCATCATGACACTTTCCACCGACAATATATATATATATATATATATATATATATATATATATATATATATATATATATTACATAGATAAAGCCCTTCGTAAAGTGTGAGCTGTATTTGAGAGAGAATTTTTTTTGTATTTCTTTAAGGCATGGACTTCCACGTGTCCCTTCAATTAGTCTACTGCAATCTTTTTTCCAACCAATCCAAGGGCTCCAACTACAACAGGGATTGTTGATGTTCCCATGTGCCACATATTATTATTATTATTATTTCAAGAGATGAAACGAACTGGAAGAAGAATAAAAGTTACTATAACGGAAAAAGAACTCTGCTAGCTACAAAATCCCCAACAAATTATTGAAAAAAAAAGGGGAGATAATTGGGAAATGCTTGTGAAGCTCTTGTATTATTCCTCATTGAACTGGATTGTTTTCACAAGTGGCCATCAAAACCTCAGTGCCCTCCTTGTTAACGGACCATATTTTTTAAACCAAACAAATCCTTCATGATAGGCTTTTTGTACGCTATATTTCGTGAGTAGTTCCGTCATCAGCTCCGGTATGAATGACTAAATTCAAACAACTTAGTGAAGGAAAAATAAAAATAAAAGGTTTTTTTTTTCTTCTCACGCGTGTAATTTTTACTTTTCACGTGGATTGGTTTACTTTTCCCAGAATACATTATTCTCTGCCGTAGCACACGCCCAAAGGGAACCTAAAAAGTTCGCACATACTTACACCAAACACTCGATTTAAGTAGAATAAAAGGAGGAAGAAGAGGAGGATCTGTTAATAACAAAAGTCTGGGAGGCCATTTCAGTATTAAAAAAAATTTTGAACAAGGGAATCACTCCTAGGGTACTAGGATAAGTATATTTCATTTTCATCAAAGGTAGGCGCGCGGGAATGATAACCCCTCCACTTAAATTCTTCCCTTTCATGTAAATTAAATTTAAATGTGAACAAGGAAATGACTCCTGTCCAAAATAGAGAAGAAGAAAGCAAGAAGATGGAGGTCACATCGGCAAGATCATTGAGTAATATTAAATATTTATTTTTCTTCATGAATTATAACAATGATTTAAAATCAATCATTATTTTCTTCCCAAAAATGTGTGACACGCAGCAAGGCGCAGGTAATTCGGCTAGTATATATATATATATATATATATATATATATATATATATATATATATATATATAATTTATAATTTATTGTGTACAGTTAATTATATGAAAAATATGTTTATTTATTAGTTGGGAATCCAATAAATTAAAGATTTGTGTGTATATATATATATATATATATATATATATATATATATAATATATCCAAGTATATGATTGGTGTATACGGAATAAATTCCAATAACCAACAATTACTATTCTTCAAAGAGTGCTCAATACAGAGTAGAGCAGATATAATTATTTATTTTTAAAAAATTATGACATAAATATGTTATAAAATCACTACAAAAATAGCCATTTTGTTTCAACACTTCCAGTGTCTTATCAAGTGATGATGTTGAAATTTTATAACATATTTATGTTATAATTTTAAATAAAAATATATATATATATATATATATATATATATATATATATATATATAATTATTTATTATTTACATATTTATGTTATAATTTTAAATAAATAATTATATATATATATATATATATATATATATATATATATATATATATATATATAATTAAGTTATGAAGAACTTGGTAATCCGTATGGGTAATCCCAAGGAGGATAAAATTCTGAGAGCTCAATGTAAATCCAGAGCTAATATTTAATATATATATATATATATATATATATATATATATATATATATATATATATAAATTATTTAAAAATATGATTCCATCGCGACACAGAAATTACTATGTTTCAATATTGGTCATCCGTATTCAAGTTTAATTTCAATATTAAACCTTAGCTGTTGGATGACTGTTTCATCCTTAAACAATGTTTAGAATCAAAGATTGTAATTTCTCTGTCGCGATGGAATCATATTTTTTAAATAATAATTATAATTTATGCTCTACTTCTGTATAGAGAAGTGTTCTTAAAATAAAAGCAAAAAATACTAATGAACTTGGGATCATCAAGTTCTTTCCTATTATATCAACACACACACGCACAGACACACACACAAACATATATATATATATATATATATATATATATATATATATATATATATATATATATATATATATCAGAAGAACAATGTTTTGCAACTGAATGAATAAATTGAAAATCTGTATGTATGACGTTTCGTCCTCTAAAAGGACTTCATCAGGCCAAAGTAATGTTCGTATTAATGGAATTTGGTGGCATATTAATTGTATGAGAATAGGAAAGGAAAGTTATACAGTGTAACCCGGATGTAAGAGAGTTGTCGGGACCGGAGAAGAAGTCTCTTATATCCGGGTTTCTCTTATATCCGGGTTTGGTCTATTTTGTTTAGGTAACACAGGCTCTAATTTGGGACCAGAGAAAATCTCTCTTATATCCGGGTTTCTCTTATATCCGGGTTTCTCTTATATCCGGGTTTCTCTTATATCCGGGTTACACTGTAATTGAAAACTGAAGCTGATTCCTATTTTTATTACACTTTCAAATATACTTCTTCAGCATAATATAACATTTGTTTGCTTGTGTCTAGACAGGACAAAAATTCTCATCTAAATAGTCATCACCACGGGGGAGGGGGCAATAAAAAGTCGGTTTATTTAGTATAAGTGGAAAACAACAAAACGAACTTTTCCGCCAATATCTCAGAAGTAAGATCGTCTAGGCTTTCGTTAGGTTTGAATTATGAGTTCAATCCCTTGGTCCGTTAGTACGGACTCAGACTTTCAAAGTTTTAAATCTTTTAAATTTCTACATTACTGAGTACTTAAAACAATGATATCATAAAGGCGCTCACGTTATATTCTTCAATTATTTTAAACATATAACCACTGTAGAAAGAATTAGATAATGATCCATCAAGCTGTCAACATGTAAACACCTTAAATAAACAGCTACAGCCGTGTTAAAAATGCATTTCTACGATACTTTAAACTTAAAGTAAATAATATTTGTTTCAAATCAGATTAGTTATACTTTAAATTAGCTAATATTCCTCAAATAAATTTTCGAAAAAGTATATTTTACTTTTGGAAGATTTTTTTTATATAAAGAGAATTCCGTTGCGCTGGAACAGGGCTAAAAATGGTGCTGAAATCAAGTTTGTAGCAAAAAATCAAATCTACAAAAAACTTCTTCCATTTAATTTAAATTCGTTTTGAAAGAGAACAAAGTATTTATCTTATTAGAAATATTAAATTTAATCTATTAACTTGAAATTAAAACTAAAATAAAAGCTTCAAGAAAGATTTTTCACTTTAAAAAATTCATTTTAAACCTTAGGTATGGCTAATCTGTGGAGGTACTTAATCGAAAACATTTGGAAGGTGTTTGCCTCAGATCTGTGACACATCATGGTGTCATGACTCTTGGGGTGAAAACATTAACAATAAATTTAACGAAGCGTCACTAAATAATTCAAGTAGCAGAAAAAAGCGGCAATTCTACAATTTACAGAATTCCACGCCCCATTAAATCTTTTCTTCAAACTTAATTATCTTTTTTTTTATATAAAGTAAGACATTTAAATATTTTCTCCATTTGGAAAAGCCTCTTGCCTTTCTTAAGGAATCCGCTTAACCTTTTTATCGGAACATTTGTCGAAATTATTCATAAAAAGGGAGGGGGAAATTCATTTCAAAATTGGATAAATGTGATGATTCGTCAGCTTTTGTTGAAGGGTTTTTATGATTTATTAAAGAAATAAAGAAAGAATTTAGGAATTTTATTTTTCTTGTTCTATGTTGGGGAAAGAAAAAACATTGACTATTGCTGAGTCAAAATACAAAGGAAAAAAGTTTTCTTCTCTTTTCTTCTTTGTCTCGCTTACAATTCCAGTTATTGCTTGATTTCGTTTCAAACATTTCCTTTTATTGCAATTGAAACTATTTACCTTATTTCTCAGTTAATGGGATTCTTTTTCTCTTTATTTTTCTCTGTCCATTTTTTTCTTCTTTCTTTCTTTCTTTCTTTCTTTCTTTCTTTCTTTCTTCCTTTCTTTCTTTCTTTCTTTCTTTGCTTCTGCTTCATTTTGTCGTTCTTTCTTTCTTTTCTTTTCTTTATTTCTTTTCTTTTTATCGGTTACAATTCTTTTATTTCTTTTTTCATCCATTTTCTTTTTTTTTCCCTACTCTGATAACCTGAAATGTCTTTCTTTATTTGTAGAATACATAGACTTATTTTTTTCACCTTCCTTTTCATTATTTCTCTTTTTATCTCAGAATTAATTTTTTTTCTTTCTTCTTTTTTCTTTCTTTCTTTCTTTCTTTCTTTCTTTCTTTCTTTCTTTCTTTCTTTTCTTTCTTCTTTCTTTTTCTTTTTTCTTTTTTCTTTTTTCTTTCTTTCTTTCTTTTGTTTGTATTATTCCCTCTTTTGTTTTATTTTCCTTTTCCACTGTTCTTTTTTCTCTCCGAATTTTCTTTCTTTCTTTTTTACTTAGGAATCTCTTCTATGCTCTCTGAATATTTTTTCCATTTCTCTGCTACAAGCTATCGTCTGCTCTCTCCAATAAACATTGGACCTCTTTATTATCATGACTGTTCTTGAAATAAGGACAAAAAGCGTCATTTACTCATCGTCTTTTGATCTTATAAACAATTCTCATCTTTTGCTCTCCATGAATATTCCAAAGACATTTTGAAATTCCTCCACAATTACACAAAGATTTTTTGGTTGTTTATACTTTCTTGGACAAAGAGCAAATGTCGTTATCTTTCATGCGTATTTACACATGGCGAGGCTCGCAAAGAAAGAATGTGATTGTTAGCAACTGACTTTGTTGAGATCACAAGCTAGGTCTTGTTTCACTGCCTGAGCCACGCCGATTCTACGAGTTCGATCCCAGATAGAAAAAAATCTGAATGGTAATTTTCAAGGCCTAACCATCGCACTTGAAACATTTTGGCAATATATTCTTCCTACAGGCCGCAAAAGCTTCTACTAGACTAAGATGAACTTGGTAAATAAAATGTGCCGAGAATATTTCGTCCATCTTATAAGAGAATTCAACAACCAAAGAAAAATCCGTTCAGATCTGGCATCTCGGCTTCAGTCACTTTGCCACTTCCGTAACGTAGTTTTCTTGTATCTTTTCTATAAATATTCTTTGTATTGTAATTGTTTTGTTGATCCTTTTCTATTTGTTACCTCACTTTTACGAATTTAAGGGCAGTACTTAATTGGCAGTTAGGTCTCATCATTTCACTGTTAAAATTGCTCATTGAATCCGTAACTTTTATGTTAATAATTTCTTCACCCGCACTTCTCGCTTGTAGAACACTCTTTGGGGTTCCTATTTTCCTGTCAACAAGGATCATCAAAAGTTCAAATTCACTGTTAATTGCCGTCTCCTTGAATTCGGCTCTTTTATTGACCTCTTATTCATTCGCTTTCAGCTCATCCCAGTTATTTTCATTGCTTTGCTTGATATTCAGCGAATTTAGAAGCTACTAGAATTACCATTATATATATATATATGTATATATATATATATATATGTCATAAAGAAACAATTTATAAAAAACATTAAATAGCAATTTTAATGTGATTAATGGCGAAATCAGAGGGGAACGCAGATTCGAATCTTGACGGAGGGAGCATTTTCTTTAATAAATTTTCTCGAATGTTCAGGTTGGTAGACGAAATATAATACCGTTGAAAATAAAACAGAACGTCTCAAATACGGGCATCCACTAAAAGTAACTTTTAAACTAAAACTATATAAATTAAAATCCATTGCTTCTTTGGAAATTGATATCCACCCTTGTGCAACTTAATTGAAACAATTCCGTCAATATTTAATTTTTTTTCGTATTTTTACAATGAAACATGACCCAGTGCACATGTTAGTACTTCGTATATCCATTCCACGAAGTCGTTCCTTGCAGATTGACCACAGATTCGCGATAGGATTTAAACCAGCAGAGTTTCCGGGCCAGTCTATAGTACTTTGATTTGCTCACTGGTAAGGCTTGCCATTGTATTTTTGCAGCGTTACAATTTTTGTACGCTTCCTTGGAGTAACGTCCATCGCAGACAATGACCGTAGGACAACTAATCGACACTCGAGACAATAGTGTCTGGATGTGATGAAATTCTGATGCAATCACGGATGACATAATATTTTCAGGGCCAACAAATTTTCATCCACAAAAAAATAGATTCATATTACTGCACACCACTGCAAATGGCCTAATCCGAGGGAAAATAAAAATCGATTCCACCCTGTCACTCCAGTGGGTCCAAAACTGACCGTATGGTGAAAGAAAGGAAACTAAAGCGGCTGTTTCAATTAATTTGCACAAGGTTGTATATTGTTCGGAAACATGCCTTTATTTATTCACATTGGCGCATTTATCAGTAAGATAGTCCAGTACAAGTGGGTAATATATTCGATGCTCATTGAGTATTCGATGAGTGTTGCTTGTGCCAGACTAGTTTTTTAATAACCACACACACATATCTTGCTTTAAAATTGCTGCATTTAGAGGGTAAATGTTTATAAATATAGAGAACATTTATAAATATAGACAGTGTGGACATAGGAATGAACACTGCATGGCTACTCCCCGTTTAACGAGAGATCTTCAGTACAGTAATACATATATACACACATACGCACTCATGTATGTATTTCTAAAGAAGTAATAGATTATTTATTTATTAATGCGACAGATTTTTATTGCTTAAACATTATTTTTAGTGGATACCCATATTTAAGTAGACGCTCCGTTTGTTTATTAAACAATATATTTATTTATTTTCGTCTCCCGGCCTGAATATTCGAGAAATCACATTAAAGAAAAATATGCGCCTTCCGACAGGATATGTGTGTGTGTGTGCGTGCGTGTGTGTGTGCGTGTGTGTATGTGCGTGTGCGTGCGTGTGTGTATGTGCGTGCGTGCGTGCGTGCGTGCGTGAGTGTGTGTGTGTGCGTGTGTGTGTGGTTTTAAAATGTGCACTAAGTTTATGGGGTGGGAGAGCTAAGTATTGGCGATATAAGTTTGGATAAAAGATGTGTAGATAAACACTGATGAACACTTACAGCGTGAAATTATCAGACACCAGCCATAATGATTTTATGCCCCCACACCATAATATATATATATATATATATATATATATATATATATATATATATATATATATATATATATATATATATACTGGACTGTTATATAGGAATAAAATGTCGCTGCCGACACTTGAATTTGAACAACATATAGATCGCCAGGGGAGCAAACACAGGCGATCCCAATATTGAATTTAGACCACGTAACCATAGAGGAAACGCATATATGGGAGGTAGCGTGTATCTAATTGATCGCCATTTGTCTATCCTCTATTACTATACGGACCGCTATTCTCTACTCAATTCACTCTACTATTTCTCTATACTGATCACTATACGGTAATTACTATTCGAGCAAGTACTATTAGTGCGAGTGTTATTCGAAGGCGTCTGACACCAGTATTGTTTAAGGGCGTTACTATAGTTGTATCTGCGATTACAAAGTCTCTTCTAGAACGAGAATTACATAAGTGACAACGAGAATTCGTTGACATCGAAAAGTTACAACGAGTGTAAAAGCAAAATTGTTCAAATCGTGTAACAGCATAATTGTCCATCCCACAAAATGTTTAATATCTAAAAAATAAAAAAAATAAATAAATAAATAAACTGAGTTTCTTTTTTCCAGGTTTTCAGATAATAAGTTTAGCCATCTTGACACCATTTGACGTAAGAATCATTGAAAACCCCTTTGAGTTATTTAGCTTAAAAAAAAACAGGTTAAAATCGTTTTGTGTCAGAACCACTGTCTTCCCAAATGGTAAGAAGAATGTGAGAAACAAAAAACAACTTTATTCAAATAAAAGAAGAGGAATTAGGAAGACGGAAGATAATGATTGACATTGCATTTAAATTTTTGAAAATCAAAGTTGACTGGGAAGTAAGAATCCGAAAGAGAGTTTCACAAGCGAAAAGTGTGATGGAAGAAACTGTTTGCATAGAACTTACGGATCAATTTAGCCATGTATTTTCAACTGTTGACTGTATATATATATTTAATTTCTTGCCATAATTAATGCTTAAAATAGTTAATGACTTAAACAAAACTAACCCGATGAAAAAATATTGACATAACGTTTTAGTTGGAAATAATAAAGTGAGGACATGTCAAAAAATTCTTTTATTGACCTTTAAAGATTTTTATTGACCGTAACAAAAAAACAAAAATCATATTAATGCGACTATAGAAGAAGAAAAAAGAAATATTCCAAATAATTCACTTCTGCTTTTAATTTTTTTTTTTTTTAATTTTTGACAGAAAATTTCGCAGATGTAAAAATGAATCTCGAAAAGTCTATCGATTATTCAATGATTTTCAATACAGAATTGAAAGTGGGCGTCACACACGTGCGATTTTCTTTTGCGTTTCAATTGGTGGAGACTCAGTCTAAAATGAGATAAACTTTATTGGGTAATTTATTTTTAATGCGAAACATTCGGGAAATTATATCTACAAGGAAACGACTGAGAAGGTGGCACACACTGCCTTGGCAGTTAACAATTGGCCTGAGCGGAATATCGTCTTTGTGAATTTTAGGGAGACCGTATATATTGATTTTCTAAGAGTAGCTTAGATGTGGCACAAGGCCGAAAGTATGGAGCACCCAGTGAGGATCGAACTCACTATTCAGTCGTAATTGTTCTAGCGAGACAAGCTTGTTAACCATTACAGCACATAGAAGTGCCGAGTGATTTCCTAAGCGTAGCTTAGATGTGGCACAAGGCCGAAAGTATGGGGCACCCAGTGAGGATCGAACTCACTATTCAGTCGTAATTGTTCTAGCGAGACAAGCTTGCTAACCATTACACCACGTAGAAGTGCCGAGTAATTTTCTAAGAGTAGCTTAGATGTGGCACAAGGACGAAAGTATGGAGCACCCAGTGAGGATCGAACTCAGTATAACTGTATTAGCGAAACAAGCTTGCTAACCATTACACCACGGGGAGACCGTCTATATGTGGTAGCTTGTTGTAACGTTGCGACAACCACCTGTATGTCTTAGGTGGGAAGTGTTCCTTGTTCTTGATTAAGATCTGTGATAGTTTTCGTTCCGTTTTCATTGTAGGATCTTTCTTTACTGTAGCTACAATTTCTAATGAGGCCTTCCAGTTTTTCGGGATATTCAGATTTGTCCAGCACTACAGTCGCATTGCCTTTGGCAGCTGGTTGTATCATGATGATCTCATTCTTCTGTAAGGTTCTGATTGGCACGTGGAACTAGAACAATCTACATATCACTCAAGAAAGAGACAAAGTTCAGATCGTTTCACCAGTTTCAGGCTACCGCGAGCCTCATGCGACCAGAATGTTCTGCTCGCCTAAAGATCGTGATAGCATGAAACTCTAGTAGCTGTTTGAACTTTACCTATTTTTTGAAGTATCGTAATTGCTCTGTTTTGGTGATCTAGACATTGGGTAGTATATGTTATTGTTTAGGTAGAAGTCTGTCTTTTGGTCTTTTCTTCTCAGTATATGTCGCCTTTTTTGTTTTGGGGGTTTTGATTTATTAATTTGGGGTTTTATTTTTTATTTTCTTTCGGTGCTTGGCAGAATTTGGGGTGATTTTACCAATACTTTGTTTTTTTCTATCTATCTATCTATCTATCTAAGTTTATTCATATCTATCTCAATGTATTCATAACTATCTATGTAAATCTATTCATAGCTGTCTCAGTCTATTCGTATCTATCTATCTATCTATCTATCTATCTATCTATCTATCTATCTATCTATCTCAGTCTATTCATATGTATCTATCTATATCTTTATATATCTTTTTATTTATATCTAAGTTTATTCATATCTATCTCAATGTATTCCTATCTATTTAAATCTGTTTATATCTATCTCAATCTATTCATATCTATCTATCTATCTATATCTATCTATCTATCTATATATGTATATATATATATATATATATATATATATATATATATATATATATATTTCAGTCTGTTCATATCTATCTATCTATCTATCTATCTATCTATCTATCTATCTATCTCAGTCTATTCATATGTATCTATCTATATCTTTTATATATCTTTTTATTTATATCTAAGTTTATTCATATCTATCTCAATGTATTCCTATCTATTTAAATCTGTTTATATCTATCTCAATCTATTCATATCTATCTATCTATCTATCTATCTATCTATCTATCTATCTATCTATATATATATATATATATATATATATATATATATTTCAGTCTGTTCATATCTATCTATCTATCTATCTATCTATCTATCTATCTATCTATCTATCTATCTATCTATCTCAGTCTTTTCAATATCTATCTATCTATCTATCTATCTATCTATCTATCTATCTATACTGATTAAAATGTCGTGACCCCAACTAAATATTTAACTTTTCTATCTCAATGTATTCATAACTATCTATGTAAATCTATTTATGTCTGTCTCAGTCTATTCGTATCTATCTATCTATCTCAGTATATTCATATGTATGTATGTATGTATCACTCTCTCTTTATATATATATATATATATATATGTGTGTGTGTGTGTACGTACATACATAGTAGAAGTTTGCATACAAGGAATTTTAATATTTTTTATAACTTTTCTTCTTATATAAACTGGGTTAGAGTTTGGTGTATAGGTTTCATTTCGATGTTATCTGTTCAAGATTTTAACAGCATGAAACAAAAAATTAGAAATATCGATGTCATTTATTTTAGCTCCTTATAAGGACAATTATAATATAAATTCGATTTTTAATGTCTGTTGGGGGTGGTGAGGAAATACTATTTCCCTTCTTGACCCTATTTTCTGCAATGTGGAGGCCTATTAAGTTAATGTAAAACTTTCCGAGCGCCATCTTTTCTCCATTAGGCAAATCTTTAACGCATAACCAAATGATGAAAACCAGCAGACATAGAATATAATGGCTCCAAAAACACAACATTGATGTGATGTTTTGAGGACGATGGCTTAGTAGGAGTTGCTTAGACATGTGTTACTGTCATCCAGTTGTTAGTTCAATCGTTGAACCTGTTAGTAATATACTGGGTCAGCGGGATTGAGCAATAACTGGCATCATAAGGACAAAATAATCAAGAGATATCCTATATCAGCCAAAATAATGGACGCCTGATGATGGCCAGACGGTATTTGGTCGAAATGTTATCTATAATAACATGTATAATAACAAGACCAGAACAATAGTTGGGAATAACTATATTATATCGAAAGTAAGTATATTTACCAAATGAGTTACAGTGTTCTTTTTTTTTTTTTTTTTTGGCGGGAGGGGAGGTCCTTTCAGGATATGGCCGATCGTGACTCTCTACAGATTTCTGCCTTTTGTTTCTATAAATAATTTTGGTTCATGTTTTGTCATTCATTCACACCCTTAATCTCGTTAAGTTGGTTACAAATGGTTTCTCTCGGCTTTTTTGGCATCCGTAATTCCCTAGGCCCTCTATCCTTTTTTTTCCAATGCAAAATAAGGGAATTATCGGAATTTATTGAAATTTTCAGCATTTATTCAATTCAATGAAATTTACACTGAATCCTTTCTTTCCCTTTCAAGCTTTGCAGAAACACTTTTTTTCATGTCAGTTATACACTCCTTTACCCTACCTCATGGATAATCCATACTTGTACATTTTGAATGTTCCCAATTTTTACATTTTATAAACCTATATCCCTGAAGGTGTTAGATCATTAAAAAGATTTTACATATTGAATGTAAAAATAACGACAATATGGCCCAAAATCTTCAGAAAATACTTTAAAAATTTATTTTTTAAAATCATGGCGAGTTGCTGATATACCTAATTTTATTATAATATGCTGTATATTTTTCTTTTCATAGAAAAAAAATCTTTAGTATATATTTATTTAAAAAAAATCCTTTCCCCCAAGCAAGGCAGTAAAGCCACTGAGATATATGGGGTTACTGAGTGTGCAAGAATAAGATGAAAGTGAAACGTTATTAAAAGAGCAGGGACAATAGGCGAGGAATCAAGAAGACAGTAGATAACGATTGACATTGCATTTAAATTTTTGAAGATCAAAATTGGCTGGAAAGCATGGTGTTGTAAAAGAGATCCACAAGGGAGAAGTGCGAGAAAAGAAGTTATTAGCATAGAACTTACAGTTACATGTAACCAATTCAACAGTGAATTGATGAGACCTAGTTGCCAATCTAGTACTGCGCTTAAATTCATAAAGTCTAGGTACCAAAACCCAGGATGATCTCCCATAAATACTTTACTGACTAAGCTGTTATAACAGTAAGAAGCTGTTATATCTATTATTAATTTTGACAAAATTCAGTCTGTATTGTTATACAGTTGTGGCATATGTCTTTATAATTTTTACATTTTTTTTATTAATTACACGAGTTGTTAAGACTAATATCATCATCGTTACTGGATTTAAGGCGACGTTTCGGCCGATGTATTCTCTAGCCATCTTCATTATCTGAAAGTCAATTTGAATACGTCTCATCTCTAAAATAAGGTACTTCATTCTTTCTTAAGTATGTAATGTACCTCTTTCTTTCTTTGGGCCTGAAAACAATAGCAATAAAGAGATGTTTCCACATTCCTGAAAACCTCCAGTCTCCCGATCGGAGGCCTTGCTGCCAGATGTAGTATATCGTCATACCCAGGACTAACCTTGCGAGGCAAAAAAAAAAAAAAAAAAATTCTTTATATTTTAAGAAATAAGGAATAATTTTACAAAATCTCGTTAATCTATAAATTTACGACTTTTTCTTTCTTTCTTTCTTTCTTTCTTTCTTTCTTTCTTTCTTTCTTTGTCTTCTCATTCGTTTTAGTTGCAGATTCAGTTTCATGTCGAACTGAATTAAACTCTTAAAACAAATAAATAATATTTCCAAAAAAGAAAATGAAAGATTTTTTGTTTTCTTGAGTATTTTGTGTTTTGTTTATCTTTCATAATCGCTTGCCTTCATTTTTCTCGATCAGTTTTATTTCTACTTCTCAACACCGATCACTTTCACAGAACACTGTTCACTCTGTATAAATCCCAAGAGCCACTCGAAGTAGAGCGTCACAGAGTAAGTGGCACAATTTATGGGTCTTCAACTGATTTTTGAAGTGTTTTAATTTATCCTTTGTCAGTATCCATCAAATTAGCTAATGGAACTGGGCGTGTGTTTCCTTTCCATTTTTGTTTTAAAATTGATGAAAATCTTAATTTTTCATTTTTTTGAAAAAAAAAAAATAATGTAGCTTTATAGAAAGTCTGTGAAGTTACCTAATTCTTAGCATTCCTTGGTAGAACCACGTTGCTTAAAGTCTATTCCTCATGAGTAAAGAAATTGCCCATTATTTGATACAGGACAATTTACGGTAAATCATGTAATTAACCTTTAGCCCTCTGCATTCTTAATATTACTTTCCATTGCATTCTTTTTCAAGGCCACTCAATTGCAGTATCCTTATTGTTAATTTCACGCAAAGGTGTTTTCTGTTGCCATAGCAGGATATGACAACACAACTATGAAATTCAAACAAATTCAAATTCAGGGATCAGAGTCACCTTCAGTGAACTTGAGTGGCAGGATAAAATTTGCACAGTAAACGAAGTCGCATACAGAGTGATAAGGGTTAAGTGCCATCTGTGATACATGCTTGGTTGATCATGTGTCTTTCGATTCATGGCTGGCTAGGTAGAAGATTTTCTCGCAGGAGGTTGCCATTCTACAGTTGCCAACCAAGTCTGTAGAACCAACGAAGCTTTTGGCTATGACGAGATGGATTCATAATCTTTCCCAAGAGTATTTGTGCGAATGTAACAAACACGACTTGAATTCGAACTCGGGTCTCCGATTTCGTGTTTCATTACACCACCCACGCATAACTACGGCAGTTCACTGAAAAATTAAAAACAAAAACAAAAAAAAGTTTGATTCTTCGACAAATTTCATATTTCTTAACGTTCCCCTCATTCATATAACCTAAATCTTTTTCTTTCTTTTTTTAAATTTTTGTTCATGTAAGAAAGACGAATTAGCAAAAGAAATAATTCTACACTTGTGATATTTGTTTTGTTTTTTGTTTTTTTTTAATATACAAAAAAATTCTGTTCTGGGATTCGATAAGAAGAAGAATACCCAACAGCCACAGACGACATATTCCTCCTACACAGACCACGTGATACAGACATGGTTCTTAACGATGAACAGAAACCCGCCATGCCGACGCGCCTTTACTTGTAATTAAAACCCTATTACCACCCAACCCATGGCACTGATTTTCAGTTCATAAACCTCTGAGTTACTTTTCTGTCTTCTCATTGGCTTTAGTTTCAGGTTCAGTTTCATGTCGAACTGAATTAAACTCTTAAAACAAATAAATAATATTTCCAAAAAAGAAAATGAAAGATTTTTTGTTTTCTTGAATATTTCGTGTTTTGTTTAGATTTCAGTACTCGCTTGCCTTCATTTTTCGCGATCAATTTTATTTCTGCTTGTATTCCACAACACTGAACACTTTCACAGAGCAGACCCCCTGATTTTCTCCAGTCGTGATTGTTTTTATAACAATGTTCACCCTGTACAAGGCCCAAGAGACACTCGAGGTAGAGCGTTACAGAGTAAGTGGTACAGTTTATGAAGATATGTGGGGACAGTGACGGTTAATCTTAGACTTGAACAAGTTAAGATTGTTGTAGTCAGGGAAGCATCCTCTTGGGAGTTGTTTCCAAAAAACGGCATCTCACGGGAAGAAGCTGCTCGAGTGGAACTTCCATCTCACCAACGGAATACGAAGAGAACGGGGGTGGTTCGCTTCAACAGGCGTGGCTAGGCAGGTCTTAGCCGTGAAGGTTAGACCCTGGTGGAAATAAGGAGTATAGTTTGTCCGAGTATTTTCCATGGAAATAGCGAAAGTACAGTGGGTTGTTCTCTTAATGAGGTTTCTTGCTTTAACATCTATTGTAGGCATCGCCACTAACTCGCTAAAAAAGATCATACCTTGATGAAAAAAAATCCCAAACTTAATAAAAACAAAGTTTTATCGTCAAAAATCTTTCTGTTATTATTAAGAGGAATGACCAAATTTTTTTTTTAATTATTTAATCCTTTTTAGATCGTTCGAAATTTTGTTTAAAAATCGTGTATTTTTTTGCGTCAGCGGCGGGGGTAAATATTCATCAAAGTTCAGTATAGGAAATTTTAGCGTCTTTTGCGGTGAAAAATAAATTGATTTGAAAATTCTTACAAAAATCAAATAATTGTCGGATTTTAATGAAACTTTCTGAACTTATTCACAAATGAGTGAAATTATGTTCGATTTTTTTTTCTGCTACAACCTTATTTATTTAATTTACAACCTTATTTATTTAATTTATGAAGTTTCGAGAAATTTAAATTTCACTTTCATATATTATTTAAAGGAAGGACTTGTTGGAGAATTTAAATCGTCAATTTGTTTTTGTCAAACGGAAACGCCATTTATCGAAAACTTGCTCTGAATCGTAAAATAAAAAAATGCAATAAAACTAAGACATTATTTAATTAGAAAAGCTTTTAATTGCTTTTATGAATAAGGTTATATTATGGACATTGTTGTTTTAAAGAAAAACGTTTTTGCAATGAATAATGAATTTCATAAAAATTGCTTTCATTTTTTAAAAATTTTAATTAAAATAATTTATAAAGTTTTTAAATCTTTTACATTTCTGTACTAATTTGCCTATTTTAAGTGATATTATTATTAAGTCAAAATTACATTTACTAATCATAAATGGAAAAGCTTTGTACAAATCATCAAACACCAGTATTTTAAAAAGAATTTTGAAAAAAAAATATTGGTGTATAAACGCGTCGATGTTTGTAAATTCGGATGTTCATACACGGCATTATCAGAAAATAAGTGACAACTAGTAAATCTAAAGGTAGAAAGTATCTACAATTGATTAAAACATTACAGAGAATATTTTCCTAAATTTTAAAGATTTCTGAGTATTTTAAAATTATATAAAAAGTCGCTCACGCTATATTCCCGATCGATCATTCTGCTCACGAAACGTATCTTAACGTAAACAATGACAACATATAATGAAATGGATTAAGCTTGATAATTGCTCTATCTATCTATCTATCTATCTATCTATCTATCTATCTATCTATATATATATATATATATATATATATATATATATAGTAAAAAATACAAGATAGAATCTTATATTCATAATCAGAACCAAATATGTTGGAGTAGAAACACTAAATGCAGAATAATGCTAAGAAGTTTTTGTTTCATTCCCAGTCAGAGATCAATCTCTATGACATTTTAAGCTTAATCTTCCTACTTTGATTACTAAAT